TCCGTCAAACCAACCTGTCAAAACAAATATACAATATATATATATATGTACTGTATATATATATATACATCAAACAGATTCAAACAGAAACATAGACAAACGCAATGTCAGAATTCTTATGTAGCCGCAGTCTTTTGATCACTTGTAACTCACCTTGTTGATGACAATGACGTTTGCGCACTCGACCTGATCCGCAAGTAAGGTTGCAATGTTCCGCTGATCTCCCGTCTCTGCCCCCAATTGGGGCCGGTCCACCAACAACTCGGTGGTTCCATAGGTCGCAAAAAAGTTCTTGCCGTCGACGACGGTCACAAGAGTGTCAAGCCGTGCAACTTTCCCAAGCATTGCTTTGCCTTCAACTTCAGTCACGAAGGTGGCCGCCACAGGCATTGGCTCTGAGATGCCTGTGCTTTCAATTAAGAGGTAGTCGAAGCGTTTCTCTTCAGCAAGCTTTGTGACATGTTCAATGAGATCATCACGTAAGGTGCAACAAATACAGCCGTTTTGCATCTCCACCATCTTGTCCTCCACCGTGAGCACTTGGTCAGACTTCACAAGCATGGCATCTATGTTGACCTCGGCCATGTCGTTGACAATCACAGCTACGCGCAAGCCTTCCTGGTTGTGCAGCACATGAGTCAACAGGCTGGTCTTGCCAGCCCCTAGGAAGCCACTCAGAACCGTCACTGGTAAAAGGCCATCAGCCTTCTCAGCACCCATTGCCAGAACACAGTGGTGGTGTGTTTTCGCCGCGATGGATGTCACAGCAATTGATGCAACGACCGATCTGGATGCGGGACCAAAACTGCTTGAGCCATGAAGAACCTGTAGTGACACTGTAGTGACACTGTAGGGACCTATAGCCTAACATTTACGAACATCCAATCTCAGTGGCGGTTTGCCGCCAGCCAATAATTGCAATGTTTGCATCCGCCAGTCCACCCCCCAACCGTTTCTCTTCGTCATGACTCCCAGCTCGCTTGTCATCACTTTATAGCATCCAAGAAAATATCCACCAAATACCACCAAGTGATTTGACTGGAAAGCCTCCTCAAATACCACCTCAACGGTCTCCCCTACCGCTTCTTTATGACCCCTTTCAACCCGTGATAGGTCAACGTGACATCCCATGGCAGCCACGTGACATCCCGTGGGCTGGGCGAGGCCACAATACTGAAGACGGGTCCCATGTGGCCGGTCTGGGTATTGAAACCCGCTCCCCAAAACATCGTCTCCCCTACCCTCGCGGCCTCCTCGTCCGGGAGCCCTGGTGGCACCGTCTTCACCGCAATGGGCGACCGGGGCGGAGTGCAGCCGGTGGCCGTGCGGTCCTGAGGTCGGAGGTATGGTGCGCTGGTGAAAGGGGGTGGGCGGGTGAAAAGGACACTTGATCGAAACAAAAGTCGTCAGAGGATCAGCAACACATGTTGATGTTTGTATATGTTTTGTTGTTCTTTCGGGGGGGTAATTCTAATTACTAACTCTATGGGCATTTAAACATATTTAAACAACCTCTCGGTTCCTGAAGGCTCAGAAGGTCTCTGGCCCTGGGCCCTGAGCAGGTGTTTTGGACCTCATGGGATGATCTTTTGGGTCTATTTTGTTGTGAGTTCCCTATCCTTTGCCAGGATTTGGAGCCCTCAGCACATGCAACACCAACACTCCAAAGCAGTCCTAAGCAACTCATCAGGCGCTTCACATGGCGATGATCGAAACAACATCAGATTTAAACAAAGAGAAACCAACAACGCCAAGCATACCGGCGCATCCCTCCACCCCCCTCACCCTCAAAAAAGGTCAAGATCATGGTTGATCACTCTAGACCCATGGTGAATCACACTGAGGTCTGATATCAAATGATATCAAATGATATCAACCATCCTCCTCGAACCTTCACCTCCGCGTCCAAGCTGCACGCTGCTCCGCATGCTCCAGTGCCCAGGGAGGTGCAGGTCCACGTGGTGTGCCTCGGTCGGTCTCCAAAGAAAGGGCTGCCCTCCTGGAGCTCAGCTGGGGAAAGGTCCTGGCTGGTGTCAGAACTTCTTTCACAGACAGAACTTCTGGAATTCCTCCCTCTTGGTCCTGCTCTAAGAAAGCCACTGTAACAAACACACCGTACCAGTACCTGATCCACTTGGTGGGCCACTGAGATTGTGAGGATCAACATGTATGACAATATGGGATACAAATCTGCTGAGAAAGCAGGGACCTCTAAGTGTTGATGGATTCTTGCCCAAACCAGACAAGTCATATATATATATATGCCAACCTTCAACCCTGAAAACACACCCCAACTGATGGGTCAATAGACTGTCCGGGTTGGCCTCAAAAAAACAACTTGTGCTTAAGCCATCGAATGTTCTCTTCTTAAAGCCAGTGGCGTGGCGTGGTGTTGGAGCCATCCAACTCCTGGCACGGCCATCATCGCGGCGGAAAAGCGCTTCGAAGTTGGCCTCTAATTAATACAATATATCTGTAGGGATTGGTGCGGTTTGCGGAATCTCCATACATCTCCATACTATGCCGCACACTCAAAGACCCCCAAGTTGCAGCCCAAAATAAACACCAAACGAAGATCCACGACGTTCTCCTCCCAAAGATGACTCACCGGGACTAACCATACAACTATATTGGTCACCACCACATCAGTCGACGTCCATGGTGCCGTGGAGTCTACTCCCCACAGAGTGACCCCCACGAGACTCGTCACCTGAGGTTTCTGGAACCATGAGACGACACCGTCACGACACCTACGATGAAGCGGACCGACGAGTCAGCCGGGGTTGCTGCGGTGTATTTGATCATCTGCCCCGAAATTGGGCTCCAACGGCTCCTACTCTTCAGTCCGGAGCTTAACTTGGGATGAGTTTAGAGGCTTTAACATGGTCTATAAGAAACTTATGAGAAGGTACTGTACTCGAGCTGCTTTGGTTCTTCATGTGTTTTTCTTAACCACGCAATGCTGCGAGCTAGTGCCGCACAGCATGTGCTGCGCCTGCTGCATCCGTTGGAGCAGCGGGTGCTCTGCAGGAAGGGTGCTCGTGGGGCTGTCGCTGCAAGGATCGCATTCCTCCTGTGGTGCTGCGAGCAGTTTTCGTGGTACCAAGGGGTGGAGATTGGTATTGCCGGTAGTATTGACGGTGTACCCAGGAGACAGATTCAGCATACATTGGCAACCAGTGATGACGATGAGTCATAGAGAGAGGGACAGGTTTTGATTGGGGACCACTACCCTGCTGGAGCCTCGTGATCTTCTGGTCCATTTCAGGCTTGGCAGTGTGCCCATTGCACCCGATCGACCCCACCCCGATGGAAGCGCATCTTCGCGGTCCTCACAGTGCCTGGGAGAGAGGTAAAAAGGCATCCCTCAAGTTGTATTCAAAAACAAACCTCAGATCTTGCAACTAGCTGGTTCAAGTTCTAACAAACCTTACGACCCCTTGAGACCTAAAACGGTCAAGTCTGCATTTGTGTTTGCTAAAAAGAAGCCAAGAGTCCTAAGAGGATGTAACTGTTTGTAAACTCAAATTATGTGTTCTCGTCCAAAAGCATGGCTTCCAGATTTTTGCTGCATTGCTGTGCACGCAAGCAAAAAGCTGACTGGTGCGAAAAGTAGTGGATCCAGAGGAATCTCTATCCGGGCTCATTTCCTCATTCCTTACTAAGCATTGCCCAGACACTCCATGTGTGCCATATACGCCTACATTGGGGTGGTTTCAGGGGTCAATGTAGGCATATATGGCATACATGGAGTGTCTGGGTTGTGATTTGACATCATCTTGGCAATTGGCGCGGACGACGTCCAGCAGCAAAATCTAAGCCCCTGTGACGAATGAGCCCAATTGCACCCGTCACCACTGTGACGCAGTACGACAGACTTGAAGATGGTACTCTATCGGTATCGCAACAAAAAAACGTGCTATACCCAGACACTCCATGTGTACCATATATGCCTACATTGGGATGGTTTTGCGGGTCAATGTCGGCATATACGGCATACGTGGAGTGTCTGGGATAGCGCCATATGGCGCCATATGAGTGCCAGGGTGCCAGGGTGCACATCAACTCTCCGGCGACGACCGCGACGACCGCGACGACCAGGACGGATCCCAAAGGAAATGGACGTGATCAGAACAGAACTGAGACCACGCCAGCAATTCCAACTGCCGGATGCCAAGGGATCAACACACCTTCTGCGGTGCAGAACCCGCAGAAACGATTGACCTGGTCAATGGAGAGCCACGTACGGTACGTGGCAAAGAAGGCGCTGTTGGTGTCTTAAGTGTAGAGGGGTTGCTCAGACTGTCTTAAGGGGGAAATGACTTGCTTGAAAACCAGAAACCAAAAAGGGCTGAAGGGGTGAAACCAAATGCATCTGTTGGCTACAAAAAGGTAAGTAAAGGGCTCCGATTTTGTTTGAGTGCGAAACATCACCCCAAAGGTTCTTGATGTGCTAAGTCTTGGTGCTTAGGAAAACCACCAGAGTTATACAATAAACTTCATGGATGGAATACGTCATAATACCAACAATGACATTATATATCTAATTAAACTAGCGGCAATAAAAAAATGCATTGGAGTGTCTGGAGAGAGTTTGGGGAAAAGCTAGGGTTCTTTGATACTCTTTCGTGGTGAATTAAACAAACCTCCGCCCCTTACCACCTCTGACGGTACCCCTAAGCCCCTGCCATTCTGTGACCCTCCCAGGTGCCCGCGCCCGATGCGCTGAAGCCGCGCACAGCCTGGTGGTCCGTTTTTCAGCGCGTGCTCCGGCGAGATGAAACCAAGCATTGAACAAAAAAACAATCCCCATAATATATCCCCATGAATGGATGCTGACGCCACAAAACCACACTATATGTATTAACTTGTTTGACATTCTGATGTCATGCATTTTCACGCTACTAAAACCAGGTGTTCACGGTGACCATGTCCTTTTTGTTGGAAGGCTCAGTATTGGGAAACCTCACGTGTTCGCAAAACACGGGACCACAAAGGTAGAAAATCGGCAAATTATTCACCAACAATTCCCAGCTTCTTCAAACTTTTGAGGGTTGTTAAGTGACCCTTGAGAGGCAAACAGGTGACCAAACCATTTGGGAAATAACTGGCTCAATTCGGGTCACTTTGAAGAACAAGGTCCATGGTCCTTTGACCTTCAGGATGGAACTGCCAAAGCCGGAACACACCATTGACTTGGTCTTCGACTCGTGCGAAGCAGCGCTCCTGTGGAGGGCGACTCGTCGTGCGCCAGGGTAGCAGAACATTGGCCTTGACGTGACGAAGTTCGATCCGGAGGCTCTGACGATGAAATGGCTTTGGGAGCCCCCCAAAAAACCTTATTAAATAGGACGGAAGGAGGTTCCTTCCAGGTGTCTGTCCGTCCCGCCGACTTGGATGGTGTTGGGTTGTTTCGTCGTCCTGAGTTGCACCTTGAGTCCATGCAAAGAGTTTGCCTCTCCCAGGATGGTTTGGACCATGAGAACTCTCTCTCTCTCTCTCTGGGTTTGGGGGGCCTCCAAGTGTGTTCAGTATGATAGAAAGGCTGGTGCAAGTGGACCACCGAGCTGCCCCTTCGAGATTTTCAATTGGTACCTCAGGAGGCAATGGACAACGAGTCGACAACCAGCCGACATCGGGTAGCCAGGCCAACATGGGGTAACCAATCCCCAAGAATTGCTTTTCATTGGGGACAGTCGAAACGACATCTAATGACCATTGTCCCCAGTTGTGTCAGTGACGAACGTGTCCAACGCTTGATCTTGGAGAGTTCCACTGCTTCATGGAGTCTTAACCATTGTAGACCTTTGATTGTAAAACCATGTAAAACCCGCCTCCACTTCAAATGGGTGGCTTTATTGATTACGGCATGGACGTCGACAGTGGTCCAAACACTAGTCACTACCCAGGTCCGCAGTCGCCACTATTCGGTCCACATCCCAGGTCATCTGTTCGGTTTCTTTGTTGGCTCGTTTCTGAGCAGCGCCCATCCCCATCTCCTGAGGCTCTTCAAACCCATTTACTTTCCATTTTGCATCATTTTGGTCTATTTCACACACACAAGCTGAGCATCCCGGGCTTCCCATGGCACGAAGGCACTGTCCTCATCCAGTGATTCCATGCGACAAATCCTTGTGCATGCAACCTTTCTATAGAGTCGGCCGGGTGGTATGACAAACATCTGCTGAAACTTTAATGCCCAAATCTCCAAGGGGCTGCGGTCTCCAACAGCTTGTGATTGTTGTCTGAGCCATGTTACCGGCATGTTTAGCTTCATTCAGGATCATTCAAACACATGTTAGCAGCTCCACCTACGGCAAACAAAGCTCAGATCTGGTTCGTCTCGATTCTGTATGAAAAAGTGTACGCTGCCATTTCCACCGTTGTTGAACTCGGAGTGGATTCCCGAGGCGTCTCATCTTCACATATCTTCACTATATGTACACCTCGAAACCGCGATCATTTCCGCGGCCGGGAGCCATCTCGTAGCTGCGCGAACAGCTGGGGTGGGGCGTTCCGGCTCGTCCGTGAGCGGCCATTACCACAGTGTTGGGCTCCACCAAATGATGTGCAACAGGGGCGTCTGACTGGGAAGGTGCTTCAAGAGGGAAGATCAAAAACACATTTAAAAAATCGCTATGCTGTGCAACCCTGGCAACCGCGGAGCATCTCATGCTGTGCAGGCTGCAGTGGCTGCAGGTCTCTTTTTCATCCGAAGCCGGAGTGAGAAGGCCTATCTCTGCGCAGGTCGCCTGGCAGTGATGGCACAAGGGGCACAAAGCGACATGAAAAGTATGGGATATATAACTTAACTGATTCGCTTAATTTCTCTCAGATTTGCGTAGGAACCATATAGGGGTTTAAAGTTAAAACTGATTTTTGACAGTCCAATGGCCCCGTTGCTAACCTTCAGAATACAAAACTGCTAGAATTCCATAGAATTCCAAGGACATCATCAACAATATAGTATTGCTATGTATTGCTCCAAGAACTGGTTACTACTTCTTTCCTCCAGTCGCGCCAACCTCACCATTTGAAGACTGATCTGCACCTGCATCTCGGCCAGCTTCAAACAAACCCCCCCACCTGGATTCCATTGGATAGATCAACCCATCACCCAACACAATGTCATTCAGAACAAAACAACTGATGTGTAACCCCAACTTCTACATGGTGTGTTTGAGCAAACCACTCGAACACACGTCTTAAACAAACGAGTGTGTGCAGTCCAACGAATGTTCTGCAGGGTCTGAGCTTCACACCACACAGCCGTCACTCATCTCCAATTCAATCCGTCTTCGAATGTTCCTGCAGCTGCTCACACTTGATCCCATTCGATGATACCCAAAGGACTCCATGATCGCATCTAGTCATTCACTGACCCCTGAAACCAACCACCCCAAATAGGCAGAACATACCAGTATCATGGAGTGCTTGGGTTGAACATGAGCTGGGTTGGTTCTTGGCAACTGCCATGGTGGGAACTGCCAATCCCTGCAACAGGCTGAAAAACCTATGAACACATATAAAATTCAGAAGCTGTTCACCATGGGTGTGCAAGAGCTATAAGTAGGCGTTCCTGAAGACCATGTGGGAGCCTTCAGGACTTCAGCCTAAAGGAACAATGGTGACCTCCCCCACCCAAGTGGTCGGCATCTCCATATAGGAAGATTGATTCCTGGGTCCACCGGTGTGAAAAACGTGCTGTTTGGTAAAACTACAGTTTTTCTTGTAGTTTCGTGGACGAAGTGCCGCTTCAAGAAAAAGTGATCTTCAACACAAGCACTCAAAACTGTTGCCACCATTTCAGGAAACATTAAAAGAACAATTAGGGTTTTCTTTTTTTACATCATGTTCGGTTTGATTCAGTTTGCGTGTGTTTGCATGCTGACCTGAATGCCCGGTCTTCTTCACCTGCCGCCATGGCCTTTCAACGGACGTTTGCTCCGGTCCGGTTCTCCGGTCCCGGTGGCACGGCTTCCGCTCCTGAAGGTGGCCTCGGCGTCGTCGTTGGGCGTGAGGTCATAGCGAAAGGTGCAGGTCTCCGGCCCCGCGGCCTCCGGCGTCGGCGCGGCGGTTCCGCGGCTGGTTTGGGGGAGGGAGGATGATTTTCAGGTGTTTGAGAGGGGCGGTCTGAGAGGCGATGACATCATCTTAAGATAGCTTAATTAACATTGATTGAATAACTTATTATATAAATTATATATAATTACTGCTAAGTACTATTGGAATATAATACGACGATATTACATGGGGTTTCTTCCGGCCCACGTGTTTGGGCCGACGTCCGCGGGTTTGTTGGTCCTGCGTCAAAGTCCCCTGTGTCCAAGGAGTCAGAAGCGAGGTGCATTCCAACCGGTGAAGCTTTTACAGTCACATGCTCAGCTGAGCATGGCTAAGCCGGAAAAAACACTGGCTGAGCATGGCTGGTGTTCTTTTTAGCCCATTTACATCAGGCCGGGATCATTTTGCTGAGATGGTGCAAGCCCTATGCATGATCCAATTCACCTTGCTAATCAGGAAACTAATCAGGCATATTGCCCCTGGCCGGTAGCTTCTCGAGACCCGCCCTGAAAAAGACATATTGATTGGGAGATATCCCTCAGTCCTACACCAACTGTTTCGCAAATAGCACCCCAGGATGCCCTCACCGGCTCTCTAAACTGTAGAAAGCCATCACATGACCTCACAAAACGTATGACATGTTTCCAATATGCAGAATGATCTAGTGGAGCCGTCAAAATGCTACGCTTCCTTCAGTTTCAGTGTGTGTGTATGTGGGTGGGACAAAGTTGACCCAGTTTCAGGGCCGAGAAAGGGTGTCTCCCTATGAACATACACGCCTCCCGCTGAAGAACTCGCGAGCCCAAAACATGTCAGACCCCTCCGAGAAAAATAACAAAAAACGAAAAACAACTCCCACCGCGATGGCCACAGCGCGAGCACTGGCATCGTGCCTTGTTGTGAACCAGCGAAATGGCATGCCCGGTGCGAACCACACACTCTTACTGGACTACATCTGCAAGAGCATGAATTGTTGTACATCATTGTGGAGATCGAACCCACACTCTTTCTTCTGGATTGCGATGGCAACGAAAAGCTAAGCTAGACAGTTCTTACTTGGGTATATTCCATTCCCTGTAGCAGTGGATGATGATGATTATTATTGTTATTATTACTATTACTATTATTTTGATGGGTGGTGCGTAATAAAGGTCTTTTAGATTATTTTAGCATAGTGATAATTGCTTACCGACTATTACAAGTATTGGGACACCCCCAAGCCCTTACCATACTCGGTGAACAAACAAAACATGTGATGAACTGTGATGGTTTGCTCATAGCATCTTAACGACAAACACTTTTATATAGAGCGACAACGATGGACATGACACCACCGATGCTTGACCATGGACGCGACCCCCGTTCAAAAGAGACCCTTCTCAAAGAATCTCCCTGACGTTTCCAACATGGAAAAAGGGGGGTTCTGACTCATTGGCCACAGCTTTATGAAAAGCGTCGGACACGTAAAGGGGTTCCCACAGTTTGATCGATGTTTCCTTATAAAATTACGATGAAAAGACATGGCCCCGAAGGCTGGTGCGAACGCAGAACCCGAGCTACTCCGCACGACTGACTCGCTGGGCTGGTAGGTAAGCCCTGGAAGACAAAAACATGGAACCATGTGAGGGCTGAATAGTATAACCAGGCGGGGTCCAAGTGCCTGGGGGTTCCAACTGTCTATAGAACCACTTTCTGAGGATATGGGCCAGGAGCCCTGGGGTCAAGACAATGTTTTTTGTACCCTGCTTCCAGGCCCTTTTTGCCCGGAAATCACTCAGCTCCCAGCCCTTCACCATCCAACGATCCTGCCAACGCTCGTCTCTACTCTAGTCTGCTCATCAAGCTTGGAGCCGTTCCTTTTCGTTTGTGTTTTTGTTGAAAACTCCCGAAGACCCCATTTGCGGGAAATGCACATGAACACCCGACACTCACACATTCTGTGCAAACCCACGTTTACGGACCGGGAAGCAAGGCACACATCGGAGTCACCAAACGTTTGGGTTTTTTCCGGTGTGGTAAAACAACGCTCGTATATGAATGGGCAAACACGCATGAACTAAGCTTGCCCTGAAACAACAACAACAACAACAACAAGGTAGAGACAAAAACAGCAGCCCAACATAGTTGTCACAAGTTGCAAGTCAGGGATTCCAATGGGATTCTGTTAGGGATAGGGTCGAAGGTTTGGAGAGATGTTAGTAGCTGGACTTCTTGTCGTCGTGGTACTCAAGTCTTGGTTGGTCTGCTTCTTGTTTTTTGTTGTGTTGTTTTTTTTTGGGGGGTCAAAAAACAACAGCGGGGTCGCAGATTTTGTTTCTAGGGGGGGGTAGAGACAACAACATCTTTTGGAAGGGGGGGGTCCAAAACACAACCACGGGGTCGCAGTTTTTGTTTCTAGGATGTGGTAGAGGTTCTAAGTAGAAGTTTTGCAGGGTTTACTTAACCAGTTACAATAAGCATCACCAGTAGCATGACCCTCAGACGAGTTTCATAAACCCTAAGAAGGCGTTTAAATCGACCATATTGTTCCATTGGAATCCAACAACTTCCAGGAGTCTCCAAGAAAAGACTGATTTTCAGTGCATAGATTGAGAACCGGGTTTCCATCCCCTCCGCCTCCACACACGCCCCCCGCGGACTGTCCACATCGACTACACTGCCATTGGGGTGTAGTAGTAGTAGTGGTAGTAGTAGTAGTAGTAAAGTGCTTGTTGTCTGGTTGTTTTGGGGGGGGGGTCAAAAAACAACGACGGGGTCCCAGAATTTGTTTCTACCCCCTTGTAGAGAAAAAGAAAGAAGATGTGGTGTAACGGGGTTGCAGTTTTTGTTTGTACCAACAACAACAACACCAGCAACAACAACCACAACCACAACCACAACAACCACAGCAACCACAGCAACCACATCAACAGCAACAGCAACAGCAACACCACCAGCATCAGCACCAGCAGCAGCAACAACAGCAGCAACAGTAATAACACAAACTGCACGTTGATTTGTGTGGCGATCACTTAGCTTTTATGCGGATCCTTTTCTGGGCTCCTGCGCGATTTTTCTTGACGGGGCCCGGAAATACGTTAAGAATATGTTGTTTTCATTGGGGATCTATTTAGTGCTGTGATGGCTGGAAATGCAGATTTTGTGACAAGCGCAGCACTTTGTCCTGGGAGTGCTGATCTTAGCATCCAGGTCTCTTGTCAGATGGCAAAAAGCCTGCTATGTCTAGATGTTTTGGACCAAACTGCAAACCACCAGACTCGCCCCGTGTTCTCCCCGGGACGGGGCCGGTTCGCCCTGCGGGACCCAAGGCAAACCCGTGTGCGCCGTGCCAAACAGGGTCGTGGTGGATCGCCGGATCCAAATGGTTAGATAACAAGGCTCTAATAAATCCGCCGGCCTGCCGGCGTGTTTTGTGGATTGTTTTGGTTAGTATTGCTTGTGTTGGTTTCAATCTACGGTTTCTCTCTCCGCGCGGATTTTTCGACAGCCTGACGCCCCCGTAGTAGGTAGTAGGTAGTAGGTAGTAGGTTGGACTGTAGGTAGTGGTGGTGGTAGTAGTAGTAGATAGTAGTAGTAGTAGTAGTAGTAGTAGTAGTAGTAGTAGTAGTAGTAGTAGTAGTAGTAGTAG